GCGGAGCGGAGGTACCAGGGACTTTGCCCTGAGGGGCGTTGGGCTGCAAATCCAATCTCCCGTGGGCACACACGCTGCCCAGCCGCGGGGCAGTGGGGAACAGCTACTGTGCTGTTGCCAAGCCCGGGTTGTGCAGCATCTCCCCATGGCTATAGCAGGAGCTGGAGGTAGAGCCTGCCATAGCCTGGTGGAAGGTGATGTCCAAGCCCCACCGCTGCAAGTACTTGCCTGGAGTCCCCACGGCCTCGTAGAGCTGCCACGTGGTGGGGTGCATCCCCAGGTTGGCTCTGAAACGCCCCATGATTCACAGGAGGAGTATAAGCCAGGGAAGGCACTGGCAGAAGAGGAGCTGAAGAATGCTATTAGCATCCACCATTCGCTTGCCACGCGGGCGTCTGACTACAGCAAGCGACCCAACGTCTTCTACCTCAGGACAGCTGACTGGAGGGTCTTCCTCTTCCAAGCACAGTGAGTCCCCCAGGATCACCAGCTGGGCCCCACGGTGGGGCGCAGGGGCTTCTGCGCCCAGGGTGGAGGGTGGGATGGGGCTTAGGGACGCATTGCGCTCTCCTGTCCTGGCCCTTTCTGGAAGGAAGGGGACCCGGTGTCGACACTGTGCTTTGCCCAGCTCCTCTTCTTCCCACTCCAATGGGCCTGTGATGGCCCAAGTTGCTGGGGGCAGAGCCCCAAGTGCCGCGGCTGGCCAGGGCCAGGCCTAGGGACCCGGATCTCGTCTGCAGGGCAGGTCCCTCTGCCTGTGACACAGATAGTGCCACACAGAGCCCATCTGTGGTTTGGCCTTTCTCCCCAGGAACCCTGAACAGATGCACTCGTGGATCACGCGCATCAATGTGGTGGCAGCCATGTTCTCCGCTCCGCCCTTCCCTGCGGCCATCGGCTCCCAGAAGAAGTTCAGCCGCCCACTGCTGCCCAGCTCCTGCACCAGGCTGTCCCAGGTGGGCCATGGCGTGGGGGCAGCCGGGTCTGATGGTGGCACTGTACCCTGTGGAGGGACCTATATGGTGCCACGTGCCTGGCTGCTTCCCCGTGGGGTACAGGGCTGAGGGACCATGTCCAGGCAGACGCAGAGCAAGGGGGTGCTGAGGCTGGGAGCGGGCAGCAAGGTCTTGTTCCTGGCAGTGGGGACCGGAGACAGACAATGGAGTCAGACCGTGGAGGAGATCGTGGTCCCACACCACGGCTTGTGGGATCCTGCCAGGGCCAGGGCCTTGAAAGGCGACCGGCCGGGGGGATTAGCTGGCGCTCGCGCATGCCAGGGTAGTTATTCATAGAGCAGAAAGGATTAAAAAAACCCACCAGCCTAGTTTTAGAGGGTATTAAATTCTTCTGCTTTAAGATTGCAGGCAGCCTTCTGCGAGGCAGGAGCAGATTGCCCCCAAGGGCCTGTGCTTTTTGCCTGCCGTTTAAAAAACCAAACCAACCAACTAACCCAGGAGCAGAAGCTGAGATCCTGGCTGGTCCTAGGAGGGGAAAAACCTGTTCTTGCCCTGGCTGGCTCACACTGCTGGGGGCAGAGCAGAGGGCAGAGCCGGGCACTGACACAGTGCCACCCTTCCCCAGGAGGAGCAGGTGAAAAGCCACGAAACCAAGTTCAAGACGATGTCAGCGGAGCTGCTGGAGCATCGCTCCTCACTGCCCGAGAAGAAGGTGAAGGGCAAGGAGTACGAGGAGCTGAAGCAGAAGGAAGAGTACCTGGAGTTTGAGGTGAGCTGGGACACACACCCCTCTGCCCCCAGCCCCTCTGCCCCTGCCTTGGC